TAAGATAAAGATTTGTTCAGAGTATAAGTAAGATAAAATGGAGCATACCTTTTACGCCTTACTTGGTACGCAAGGAAATGCTAAGTATTGACAAGGTACTTTAATGTTTCGCAAATGCCAATTAATATATATATATATATATATATATATATATATATATATATATATATATATATAATATATATATATATATATATATATATATATATATATATATATATATATTTATATAATATATATACATCTATAATTTATACATATATAAATAATATGTATGTATATATATATTTATATATAAATATATATATATATATATATATATATATATATATATATATATATATATATATATATATATATATTTATATATATATAATATATACATCTATAATTTATACATATATAAATAATATATATATATATATATATATACATATATATATATATATATATGTTCATATATATATATATATATATATATATATATATATATATATATATATATATATATATATATATATATATATATATATATATATATATATATATATATATATGTATATATATGTATATATATATATAATATATATATATATATATATATATATATATATATACATATATATATATATATATATATATATATATATATATATATATATATATATATATATATATATATATATATATATATGTATATATAAATATATATATATATATATATATATATATATATATATATATATATATATATATATATATATATATATATATATATATATATATATATATATATATATATATATATATATATATATATATACCTAAGTAGCAAACAATATTGGCGCAATATTGGCGCGATATTGTTTACAATATTGTTTACAATATTGGCGCAATATTGTAAACTATATCGCGCCAATATTGCAATGTCAACATTTTGCCAATATTGGCCAATATTGGCGGTACAACATTGCGCCAATATTGTAAATTCAATATTGTAAATTCAATATTGGCCAATATTGGCGGTACAATAGAAAGAAAACAGATTGTATCATTTAGAAACAGATTGTATCACGAGAAGAAGTGGAAAAATATTTCTGTGCTCTAAGATAAAGATTGAAATAGTAAGTTTACTTTTATATAAAAACAGTTTGAGTTACTTACATCTGCAAGATTTGTAAAGTCTATTTTATTTTGTTGAATATATTCAATTAAGTTAAAGATATTCAATTAAGTAACAAATACGTCATATAGTTTACCTTTTAATAAGTTTGTAAATGAATAAATTGTAAATAAGGTATTATTAAATCTTGATTTAATAATATATGTATATATATATATATATATATATATATATATATATATATATATATATATATATATATATAGTATATATATATATATATATATATATATATATATATATATATATATATATATATATATATATATATATATATATATATATATATATATAATATTTATATATATATATAATTTTATTTTATATAGCATTTTATTTTATGCTTAAGTGTTAGTATAATGTTATAGGTAATGAAAAAATCAATAAAAACAACTCGATCTGCTAAATCACATTATATTAGAAGAGTAGTAAAGCAACATTTAAATGAAATTCACTCAACAAGTAATGTTGAAAATACGAATCACTCAACAAGTAATGTTGAAAATACGAATGAATTACTTAACTGTGGAAATGCAATAAACTTCAGTGATGAGTCTATTAACCATAATATGTTATATCAAAATTCTTATAATTATTTGGCTGAAGACACATTAAAATCCTCAAATGTTGAGTTTGGTGACATATCATATTTTGATGAAAACCAACCCTCGAATTTGACTAATAGTTCTGATGATGACTGTAACATAACTGATGATGAGCATGGCTACTATCCTTCATGTTCCAGTGACAATGAAGAGGCTCAGGATGAAGTTACTTTGAAAGAACTGCTTATTTGCTGGTCAGTCAAACACAATGTAACACATAGTGCTTTATCAGATTTACTAAAAATCTTGTCAAAACAACATCCAGATTTGCCCAAAGATAGTAGAATCTTATTGAAAACAAAAAGCAGTTCTGACATTATTATCATGCAAGACATGTTTGGGCAAAAGACAGAGTTTGTTTATTTTGGTTTGAAACATCAGTTAATTAGTTTGCTAGTGTTTAACAGCATTGAAAGCCGCAAAGTTAGTTTATTGTTTAGCATTGATGGATTGTCTTTGTATAAGAGCTCTGCAAAACAGTTTTGGCCAATACTTTGCAGTGTTACAATTGGTAAAAATGTTTATAAACCATTTGTAGTTAGCATATTTTGTGGCAACAGCAAACCTAAAAGTTCAGCTATTTTTCTAGCTAGTTTTGTAGCTGAATTCAATGTTTTGAAGGAACAAGGTTTATTTATAGGTGAAAATCACTTTACCATTCATGCTAAAGGTTTTGTGTGTGATGCACCTGCACGCGCTTTTGTTAAATGTATAAAAGGACATAATGGGTATTATGGTTGTGAACGATGCATTCAAAAGGGAACTAGGGTAGATAATAGAACTGTATTTCCTGATGTAAATGCAATGAAGAGAACAAATGCTTCCTTTGCATTATTCCAGCAAGTTCAGCATCACAAACCAGATGCAGTACCCCCACTGTTAGAGCTTAATATCGGTCACATCTTTCAATTTCCACTAGAATATATGCATCTAGTTTGTCTTGGTGCCACACGAAGGTTACTTCTGCATTGGCTTCGTGGAAAACGTGCGGTAAAAATAAGCACGCTAATTGCTGATTTAATTTCAAATGGATTAAAAAATTTGGCAGCATATGTTACTGTTGAATTTGCACGTAAACCAAGATCACTAAAAGACATTGATCGATGGAAAGCCACAGAATTTTGTCTATTTTTGTGTTACCTTGGACCTCTTGTATTATGAAGCCATCTTACCAATAATCTGTACCAGCATTTTATGTTATTGCATGTCGCAATTAATATTTTAGCTAATCCAAATATGTGCTGGACGCATGTTGATTATGCAGAAAAATTGTTAAATATATTTGTCATGCAAATGCCAGATTTCTATGGCAGCAGCTCAATAGACTACACAATGCACAGCCTTTGTCACATTTGTAATGATGTAAGACAGTATGGTTCACTTGATGAGTATAGTGCATTTCCTTTTGAAAATGCTTTAGGCATTATGAAACGATTGTTACGAAGTGGCCACATGCCTTTGCAGCAGTTGTGTCGAAATTTGTCAGAAAGAATTAATAGCAACACATATTCTATCAGTCGCAATATGCACCTGATACCAAGTTTAAAAAGGTTACACAGCAATGGTCCTACCTTAGGGTACTATGGAAAGCAATATCTAAAGGTTGAGTATGCTGGTTTCACATATTTTTCTGCAAATTCCAACAACTGTGCTTTACTTGATAGTGGTAAAGTTGTCCTTATTGAAAATGTTATTGATGCTGACAATATAATGATAATTACACGTGTTTTTGGACTTAAAGAAAATTTCTACACTTATCCTTGTGAATCTTCTTTGCTCAATATTTTTAAAGTTAGTCAACTATCTGATCAATTTTTTGCTTTTCCTATAACTTCAATTGTAAAAAAATGCTTATTATTGTCTAGAGAAACCTATTTTGTTAGTTTTGCTTTACTTCATCGGAACTAGTAAACAAACTAAATGTTAGGGTGTTGATTTAATGTTATAAATTTTAATAATTTTTTTAAAGAAAGATATAATAATTATATTTACTAGAGTCAATTTTGTTTTAGCTTGAGTTTAATTTTATAGTAGTTTTTTAATCTTCAAAAGTAAAGTTACAATTGACTGTACATTTACTGCAGTATGCCAATTAACTAAATCTTTTTATTTAAAAATGAATATAAAACTAGTTTGTACCAATTAATTTTTGTTTTCTTTTTTTTAGTGTTGCATTTAAACAAAGTTAAGGAGAGCTCATAACAATTTGCATTTCCTAACAACTATTATTTTTGTTTTTAAACTCCAACTTTTTGTGTCTTCTGTCTATTTTTGACTAATACTGTTACATATTTTTAAAAAGTAGAAAACTTTTTTAAAGTTATTTAAAAGCTGAAAGTTTTTTTTAATGATCTTTTTCAATCAAGTGTGAAACTGTCAATAAAAGAGACATAACACAGGCAGCATTTATAAAACAAATGTGTTAAGTATTTACAAAAAATGTCACTTTTATTGAAAAGTAAAAAGTCTCCTTGTTTCCAGTATTAAAACTTTTGATAAATTGCTCAAAACTTCACATTTTACTGTAATTAGTAAAAATGTTAAAATCTAAGTTTTCACATTAATTATCCTTTCACTATGCTGACCACACAAGTAGTGAAGGATCGTGGCTGATATTTGACTGGGGCCGGGGAGGGTTTGGTAAAACATAGCTGGGGTCAAGGTTATTGCCGGGGCTGCCTTAATCTTGACAAACCCTTTAAATGAAATGAGTCTTTAATCTTGTATTAAAGTTGACATTATATATATATATATATATATATATATATATATATATATATATATATATATATATATATATATATATATATATATATATATATATATATATATATATATATATATATATATATATATATATATATATATATATATATTGTATATATATATTGTATATATATATATATATATATATATATATATATATGTATATATATATATATATATATATATATATATATATATATATATATATATATATATATATATATATATATATATATATATATATATATATATATATATATATATATATATATATATATATATATATGGTGATTTAAAAAATAATGTTTTTTAATGAGAAACAAAAATACTCTAGTAATTATAATAACAATAATAAAAATAAGAAGAATAAGAATATTAACAATAATAATAATGATAATAACAATAATAATAACAACAGCAACAATAATAAAAACAGTAATAGTAGTACAATAAAGTTTAAGTATTTTTAATCACTTTTTTTATTGCAGCAGTCTAGAAATTGTGAATGCCTAACTACTTTAATTTTTGGCTTGTACAAGCAGAACATTTATCATAATGAGCCATTTGTCTGGGAAAAGTTTATACTATTAGTATTTTGATACTTATGTCATTCCAAAAGAAAAACAATGTGTCTGACTTCCTTATTTTTGACTGCTATAAAAAGAGTATTTTTTTATTAGTCCATTACCAAAGCTATTTGGAAAAGTTGTTTTAAGGTTTGTAAAATTTTTTTTATTTTAAATAAATATCTTTTTATTTAAGATTCTTTCTTAAATCTAATTAATTATTAAATTTTATATTATTTTTTATTTATAATTAAATATAAATATAAAAAAAATATATAAATTCACCTCCAAGCTCAAGTACAAGTCTACATGAGTTTTAAGTTTCCAAATCAATACAACAAGAATGTATTAGACTCAAAACAAAAAATCTTGAAACACTTCTTTTTAAAAAAAATATAATATAAGAGCACTTTCATATAATACATTTTTATGTGGGGCTCCTGAAGTCTTTGTACCACCTAATTCAAACTATTACGATGTATGGGAGCCTGAATCTTCAGGCTTCTACAAAGAAACATATTTTCAATAAAATGGCTACTTTTTTAATTATTCTTGAAAATTTTTATTGTAAATTATTATATTATAGGTATAATATATAAATATGTATTTTAAAATATAATTAAATATATATAAATATATATATATATATATATATATATATATATATATATATATATATATACATATATATATATATATATATGTATATATATATGTATATATATGTATATATATGTATATATATATATATATATATATATATATATATACCACTAGATGATCTTAGAGTCGACAGCAATAAAATACCCGCGGAAAGTCGACACTGCAAAAATCAGTCTAACATTGTCAATTTAAATTTTTTTTTGTCGAAAATCAAAGGAATGGCTTCTTTTTCTCTTGGCAATTTTATATTTCATAACTTTAATTTGATTTTCAATATTAAGTCGACTTAACGTTTTCGAGCAAATTTTTTTTGTTGTAAGTCGACTTTACCCTTTTTTTTTATTATATCTTCCTAAAGTCGACAATAAAAAAAAGTGGTTATTCTGGATTACAATTCTTATAAATACAAGGGCCGGTATAAAGAAAAAATGCCTGTTTTTGTAACACAAGTATCACCGTGGCTTAAGAATTATCTTTTTTATATTTAAAAATGTTTTTAAGTCTGATTTTTGTTTTAGATTCTATTCAATTACATTTGAATATCGTTTATTCTTTGGGAGACGATTCGCATCTTTTTTGCTCTTTCGTTAGTGATTTTATTTCTAACTGTACCGTAGCCAAACCCGTATTTTATTCCAAATTCAGTCATTTCTTGTCGACCTATAATAGATAAAATATGTACTATATTTAAAAATAAAGATTACAAACATTTCTACTTAAATCAAAAGTAAAATAAGAATCATTTTGTAATATTTTGTAACCTTGCAAAAAGTAATAAATATCAAAAAATGTTTATTAAATTTTTTAACATATGTTTTTTCTTATTTCAACCTTAGTTGCTAAAAATGATAATTAAAAAGATAAGTTGATGAAAATCTTAAATAAAAATCTTGTCTAATATACACTTACTTGGATATCCTATATTTGAACTAACATACTGCATAAACCTTTGAAAAAACGCACTCTCATTTTCGTTATCCCATTGGTTATATTTACGACCTAAATATATATTATATAACTTTTACAGCCACCCACGAAACCTAAAAGATTGCACATATATCTAATTGCCTCAAATGCCCCAAATTTTACCCTTTTATTTGGGCTTATGTCTGAACGTAAACTCGATACAACAAAATGAAAGTTTAAAACACATTTATTAAAACTTGAATAATCGAAAGTTGTCTAATTATTATATAGAAAATAAGAAATTGTTTGTTTTTAAATATTTTCTTGCTTTCTGTGCTCAAATAAGTATAATTATATAACGATCCCCACCACGTCCCTGGTAGTACCGCGACCAACTCGTTTCTCCGCGCAGCGGCCTTGTTCGTCAAGGTTCGTGTTTCGGAGTTATAGAGTGGAGAGAGAGTTATAGCCACAAATAAGAAGCCTCCTCGTTTGTATTGGCCTTCTCAGCCTTGAGGAGGTGAATTAAAATAAAAAAATAAAATAAAAAACTGTTAATAACAAAAAAATATGAAAATAACTAATTTGGCTTCCCCACTTTAAATATCAGTGTATATTTATAGTAAGGGAGCTAATCCAAGGTTATAAATAAGGACAACCATTTCATTATTAGGTTCTCTTTTCTACTTTTAAATTGTGGGGGCAGGGAAATAACACATTTAACACCTCCACTTCAGCAGCTACAGAATTTTTTTTTTAATGATATGTTTAGTTTAATGTAATCTTAAATAAATCATTTTTTTTTAATTTAATGCGACCATTAAAATTAAAGTCTTTAAAATAAGTAAAAATAACTTAAAATAAGTAATACAGATATAAATTACAAAACTTTGACTTGTGCAATAAAAGTTATACCTGAGACAAAACTTTTTTTAGTTTTATTAATTTGGTTAACATTAGTTTTAAATTCAAACTCCGATTCGCTTGAATTGTTTTCATATTCAGTAGAAGAATGATTTTCAAGACTTTCATTTGCAATTTCTGGAACTAGAGTACAGAGTAATAGTAAAAAATTATTATTACTAAATAAAAATATTCAGTATAAAGGAATCATTTAAAATACAAATAAAACATTATTTACAATAAATAAAAAATATACTAGATAACTAAAAATTTAAATAAGATTCATACCTTGTTTATTCAAACTGATTGGAGTGCTACTTCCAACACTAGCCTCAAGTTTTGCCTTAGATCTAGTTAAAAAAACTTTAGCTAGTTTTATTGGCTTCTCTTGTTTTTCTACAAGCCGATTTTTCTGCTCTTTTTTATCAATATTTATTGTTTTTTTTAAATCTTGCTTTACTAAAAAAAAAAAAGATTTATAAATATAAAATTAAAATAACTTTTGCTTTGGGTTGACATTTCTTTAAAAAAATTATTCAAACAAATTAAAAATATATTTATACATACAGGAATTTCGATCAATAGCTTCAAGATGTTTTCCTGTTGAGAGAAGCTGTCGATAAGCTGCCGGAGCTTGATATATTGTCTTGTTAATTGTTTCACTGTGCCCAAAGTGATCATATGCCAAACTCATTTGGGCATCTGAAACTCCTAAACCAGCCACTAGTGTAGAGAGTCGATGGCGATTATTTGTACCAGTAACTTTTGATTCATCTATCAAGTTAAGTTGCTTGATTATATTTTTTAGACTATGCCATCCAGAGCAGTGATAAAGTGAAGATTGTGTACTTGGGAAAATGTAAATGTTATTTGCTGAAACTCCAGCCTGAGTTCTAATATCAGCAGAACCTAACAACTTCATTGCTTCAATAGTATCAGTTGGAATTAAAACAGGGACTGAATGATTAACCCCTTTCCCAGACTGATAAGTAATTTTCATCCCATCTTCTAATTGACTTTCAGATAGTGTATTTTTTATTCTTTGTTTGTCTAGCCATACATTATTCAAAGCATTTTCCCATTCTTTAATTGTTAGTCTTGCAGGTTCACCACCTCGCCTGCCATTAAAAATAGTTAATCGAGCACAAGCACAGTCTCTTAATTGAATAAAAGAAGGTCTATCTATTATTTCATATTCGCTAGTCAGTTTTTCCATAGTAGTAACAATATGATTTCTTATAGTTTGAATATCTTCTTCCATTGGAAGATGTGCAGGTTTTTTATGTTTTTCGTTCCTACGTTTATTTAAATCATAAACAGCGTCTGAAAAAATTTCATCTTTCATAAGCCCAAATATGTACAAAAAATTTGAAACTTCTTTAGACAAATCATCACGATTTGTCTTTAAGTAATATCCCATACATTTCTCAGCTGAGTCCTTAAGTAAATAATAGATGCCACTTTTTAAACCAGATTTTATCTTATCTTCACCTTTATCGGTATAATTTTCAATGGCTTTTTTTAAATAGTCAATATTTCCTCTCAAAAACATATCACCAGAATTACCTTGCTCAATTGCTAACATTTTAGCAGGATATTCTGTTTTTTCAATTGTAAATCTATTATAAATGTTGGCAAGCCGGCGCATTGAGCACCTAACCGATTTCTCAACCTCCAACTTTTTATCAAACCTTCTTTTAATTTTACCATACAAGCGAGATCCTATCATCAAAATAATGCTATCACTTTTAGCTAGCGTGCCAATTTCATCGTTATTTATGACATTTAAAATATTTAACTTGAAATCATTGTCTAAAGAATTATATTTATCTATTTCCCCAATTGCAATAGATGGTATTAAGGCTTGACAAGAATCTTCACCGCATTTTATCTGATGTCTGGTTTTATAACTCTTTGCAAAGAAACCTTTGCATTTTAAGCACATTAGCAAGTTGTTTGAATTTAAGAATTTTTCAGATTGCATATTTTTTTTGGAACGTTGTGCTCTTTCCTTTAGAAACTTTGGATTACTGTTTTGGACTTCATTTAAGTTAAACTGATGAATCCCTTGTTTTTTAAAAGAATCAAATGCTTTACGACGCTCTATTTTAGACAATTTAAAAGCCTCACATATTCTAGGATCACTTTTATGTGTTAGAAAATGTCTTGAAAGTGCTAATTGATGCACACCACATATAAAACAAGGTCGCTTTGGTTTTGGATTACTTTTTTTAGATAGTTTATTGATTTCGTTTTTTGGTCTCACATGTGAATTGTTCAGTTGTCTAACCTTAAAACAAATGAATTAACTAAACATAATAACATTAAATAATAAATAATAACTATTATTAAATAGTATATGAAAAAAAAAATAACAACAAAACTTAAAATTAAACGAAAATTTCCAC